ACCAGTGTCCCTGTCTACAAGTGTCCCTGTCCACCAATGTTCCTGTCTACTAAAGTCCCTGTCCACCAGTGTCCCTGTCAACCATTGTCCCTGTCCACCAGTGTCCCTGTCAACCAGTGTCCCTGTCTACAAGTGTCCCTGTCCACCAATGTTCCTGTCTACTAAAGTCCCTGCCCACCAGAGTCCCTGTCCACCAGTGTCCCTGTCAACCATTGTCCCTGTCCACCAGTGTCCCTGTCAACCAGTGTCCCTGTCTACAAGTGTCACTGTCCACCAAAGTCCCTGTCCAACAGTGTCCTTATCTACTAAAGTCCCTGTCCACCAGTGTTCCTGTCCACCAGAGTCCCTGTCCACCAGTGTCCCTTTCCACCAGAGTCCCTGTCCACCAGTGTTCCTGTCTACTATAGTTCCTGTCCACCAGTGTTCCTGTCCACCAGAGTCCCTGTCCACCAGTGTCCCTTTCCACCAGAGTCCCTGTCCACCAGTGTCCCTTTCCACCAGAGTCCCTGTCCACCAGTGTTCCTGTCTACTAAAGTCCCTGTCCACCAGTGTCCCTGTCAACCAGTATCCCTGTCTACAAGTGTCACTGTCCACCAGTGTCCCTGTCAACCAGTGTCCCTGTCTACAAGTGTCAGTGTCCACCAAAGTCCCTGTCCACCAGTGTCCTTGTCTACTAAAGTCCCTGTCTACCATTGATCCAGTCTACCAGTGTCCCTGTCCAACAGTGTCCTTGTCTACTAAAGTCCCTGTCTACCATTGATCCAGTCTACCAGTGTCCCTGTCCACCAGTGTTACAGTCTACCAAATTTCCTGTCCAACGGTGTCCCTGTCTACTAAAGTCCCTGTCCACCAGTGTCCCTGTCCACACTCACATTTCTACATAAATGGACTGAGAGGACCATGATGGAACCTCCAGAACTTCCAAGCTGGACTGACAACCTCAAATCATCAGCTGGACAGGTGAAACCTGGACACGGGTCCAACAGGACCATGATCCCAGACATCAGGGCCCTCATGCATAAAGGATTGCGCAGCTTTCACACTAAAAGTTGACAGACGGACAAATTTAGAAAAGTGCACCACACCAAAATATTCAGATGTATAAAATTGTGCGCACGCAGGTTCCTGCGCACCTTTCCTTTATACATCCCAATGAAGGTGGAACTGAGACTCCTGAGACTCCTCCACTGACACGCCTCCATTTAAATCTGTAAAATAGATGTAAATGTGTCCAGAGTGTGAGATTCTCCTCAGATTGTCTCTCTGTGGGATCAGACATGAGTTTTACATGCAGGAAAATTATACATTAAATGGAGAATGAGTGAGAAAACTGTCTAAATAAGTAGTGGAGTGTAAAAATGAGTTTGCCTCACGCAAAGGTGTGTGTGTGTGTGTGTGTGTGTGTGTGT